TTTATTGGAGGCCACCCTTAACCCTTTTTTTAGATTCACAGGTTTTGGGGAAACCCTTTCACGGGGGGTTTTCCTCCCCAGCGGGGGTGGGCCCTGGTCTTAAAAATCAAGACAACCTTGTTTTCTTCCCCGAGCAGAATTTTTGTGTTTGGAAGGTGTAAGGAATGAAAGGTAGGGATTTTACACTGTTATGGATTCCCCCTAAACAAAACAAAATATTTGTTGCCATGACCCAGCATTAAGTTTAGTAGGAATCCCGTAATGCATCCAAGAATTAAACAATTGCCCTGGGATTCACAAAATCAGCCATGCAGTGGAACAGGATATTGTTGATTTGGAATATGTTAATACAAAAGACCAACAGGCTGATATCCTAACTAAAATTTTAGCTAAATCCCCATTTGAAACCTTAAGAGATGAATTAGTCTCAAATTTAACTACTTAATAAATTAACATACAGAATTAATTTATTATGGAAAGCTTGCATCTAAAGCTTCCGGGGGGCTGTTGGATTCTGGGAATCAGTAGATGACAATCTTAAGTTATCCAGATCTAACCCTATGTCTGAAAGATATACTTTGCTGACAGGAACACATTCAGGGTAACTGTTAGTTTTCAAAAGGTATATAAGCAGACCAGATTTCAAGTTTCTAGAAAATATTTTCTCTTTTCTAATGTTCACTTTATGAACTAAATTATATTTTATATTTTGTATACTATATTTAGAATTTATAAAAAACCAAGAGCTTGAATAAACAACTAACGTATAATTGTACTTATACCTTAGATCTCAGTTAATATATCCACTATCACTCCAGTACAACCATGTCCCACTCTGATCAACAGTCCAATAACACTCACCTATTCCAATCTCAAGAAATAGGTGCCGTCCTGGTTTCGAACCTGCGCAAACATTTTCATCTGAAATATTTTACTATGGGAAAATATATTTCATAGTGCGAGAAGAATCCCATAGTTAAGGCGAGATTTCTATATTTTGGGCAGAATTGCTTTATTATAGGAAGAAATTTTATTTTGTTCTTAAGGCTGGATAGAGTAAAAGTGCGTAGCCCAATATTAGGTAGTATTTTTCTCGGTTTGGTATTATTTTTTAGGATGGATCTTGGTTGGGCGACATGGATGAGAGTTGGTTATGTTTTTTAGGAAACGTGATATGGAACAGATTTTCGCGGGTCGGTGTTGTTTGTTAGGAAACGTGATATGGAAACAGGTTTTTCCGGGTCGGTCTTGTTTTTCAGGAAAGGTATTTAGTGCGCGACGGTGTATATAATAAGGATGGTTAAAAAGGATAATGTTTAAGATAGTGGTAGTTAAAGTGATGGTAATAAAAGTAATGGTTGTAGTTATGTTGGTATAATGAAATTTGACCACAAAGTTAAAGTTGACATGGAGATTAAGATTATTGAATAAAAAATATTTTTAACAATAAAAGTTGGTCTAATTCATTAAACTGATGGTTAGACAGAATAATCAATAGTGACAGTATGATAAAAGATGAACCAGTTGAGATGGTGAAAATCTAAAACCAGATATGAAATCACAAGCATTGGATTAATAATATCAGATATTAGCTTCGACAATTGGAGTTAGTTTAAGTGCTAATTGATGGGGCCTTAACTGCAGAGGTAAGGTCGTATGAAGTGATAAGATTATTGAATAAATATAATGTTGTTACGCTACCATATTTGAAATTGATTTTCTGCATGTGGTTCACTATTATGTATTTTCTGTATTTCGAGCAGAATCCCATAGTTAAGGCCAATTTTTTGAAGTGCGAGCAGAATGGCTTCATTATGTAAAAATATTTTTTTGCAGTGCGAGCAGAATGAAAATGTTTTGCGAGCAGCGTGCAGTAAACTTGCGTAGGGTAGTATTAGATAGTATTTTTCTCGGTTTGGTATTATTTTTTAGAATTGATCTGGGTTGGGCGACATGGATGAGAGTTGGTTATGGTTTTTAGGAAACGTGATATGGAACAGATTTTCGCGGGTCAGTGTTGGTTTTTAAGAAAGTTATTGAGTGCGCGACGGTGTATGTTAATTAGGATGGTTATGGACAGTAAATAATAAAGTGGTGGTAGTTAAAGTAATGGTTGTTTAAAAAGTTGTAGTTAAGTTGAGATAATGAAATTTGACCACAAAGGTAAAGTTGACATGCTGATTAAGATTATTGAATAAAAAATATTTTTAATGTTGGATTCTGGGAATCAGTAGATGACAATCTTAAGTTATCCAGATCTAACCCTATGTCTGAAAGATATACTTTGCTGACAGGAACACATTCAGGGTAACTGTTAGTTTTCAAAAGGTATATAAGCAGACCAGATTTCAAGTTTCTAGAAAATATTTTCTCTTTTCTAATGTTCACTTTATGAACTAAATCATATTTTATATTTTTGTATACTATATTTAGAATTTATAAAAAACCAAGAGCTTGAATAAACAACTAACGTATAATTGTACTTATACCTTAGATCTCAGTTAATATATCCACTATCACTCCAGTACAACCATGTCCCACCCTGATCAACAGTCCAATAACACTCACCTATTCCAATCTCAAGAAATAGGTGCCGTCCTGGTTTCGAACCTGCGCAAACAGGTTATGAGCCCTGCCAATGCAACCGACCTTATTCCCATTGAACTACTTGGTGTCCAAAACTATGATATGTGGTATCATTACTTTATGCAAGTAGTTGGTGAAGCCAGTCACATTTGGTCAGAATATGTTGAAACTGGAGATATTAAATCCGTTAGAATTGAATATGGATTACCTGATATTCAAATCAAGTCTATGAAAATAATCTTAGACACTAATCTTGTTTCTCTTATCAAAAAGAATGTTTCTAAAGATATTGAGAAAAAGATTAGAAACTCCTTCCTGATGACTAAAAGATCTGGTCCAACAGGATTGTTACTTTTAGAGTACTTAAAAAAGAAGTATGGTAGGAAATGTGTTAAGTCCACCATGCCTATTTTTTCTGAAGTCAACTCCGCCTCCTCCAAACCTTTAGATGAAAGAGGAGACTGGGCAATAAAATTTGTCAACACCATGTTCAACTGTAGTGATGAACTTGACATCAATAATTTTTTCGACGATCCTGCTATTAAATCTGCCGTTAGTGCTTATCACGAGAAACTACAGGACGCCATCGCTGCTCTGTTGTTGATGGCTATTACTCCAGAATTAAAGCAAAAATTTAATGATTTTTATGGATCGAGAACTACTATTTCTTATCATGAAGTAGAAGATATGGTAGAGGATCTGAAGACTACCAAACCTTCAAATGTTTCTGCTAACGTAGCTGCCTTTGTTGCTCAGAAGAAGAGATTCTACAACAACAACAACAACAATAATAATAATAATAATTACAATCAAAAGAAGAAGATTGTTTGCAAAGTCTGCAAAGCTTCTCACAATGTTGAAAATTGTCCTGAGATTCAAAAATTCTTAAGTAAGAACAATTATTCAAAGAAAACCGGCTCATCGAATAATGATGACTGGAATGCTGGTATGGTAAGCTATAATCAAAATAGTTCTGATTCCGGTGAAACTATCTGGATGGCTGTTGATATTGAAGGCAATTGTTTCAATGCAAGCCTCCCAGCTCCAGGCTCTTTCACTGAGAAAGATAAGTCCACCTGGCTTTTGGACACTGGTTGTACTTCACATTTGTGTTGTGACTTACAACTATTTGAAAATTTCAATCCTTCCCGTAACACTAACAACATTAGCGGTGTTGCAGGAAGTGTAGCCATACATGGTTATGGTGATGTTGTTATTGAAGGGATTAGACTAGTTCATGTGGCCTATGTTCCCGACTTACCAGTTAATCTGATTTCGGTCCGTCAAGCAACTGAAGCCAGTGGTTGTAAGTTTACCTTTAGTAATTCCTCTGTTTTTATATCATCGCCTTCTACTCCTCTAAAGAAGATCGGAAGCGTTTATAAAAGGTTATATGTCTTTGATACTTCCATTAATGATGACAAAGATACTGAACTATCGTTTGTTGCAGGAAGTGACCCTATGCTATCCACAACAATTCAACCTGTCTCAGAGAGTGTTCGCTGGCATAGTCGCTTTGGACATCCTGGTATTGAAGCATACAATTGTCTGGCCAAAACTCTGTCTCTTCCTCGAATGAACCCCGATACTGTTACAGTTTGTCCTACCTGCTCTTTAGGAAAAGGTCTTATTAAGAAGGGGACTAACTCTAGAACTAAATATACCAGTCCACTTCAACTC